GGAGTTACTTGTAAAAATAGTTGGATTTCATGAGATAGTGCACCTACTGTACATTCGACGGACGTGCAGTACATGGCATACAGACTAGTCAGAAGAAGGCGGCTCTGCTTAAGCGATGTAGGAAACAAAATGCGTTTCCGCTAATATAGGTAAGCTCAAGAAGGGAGCAAAGTTCAGCCATGATGAAACCACAGCAAACCACTTCGTCTTTTCTCAACAAGAAAAAACTAAAAATCTGGCGATGATGTTAATGTTGCTGATATGCGTATGCGAGTAAACATTTCGCGATACGCTGGGTGTTAAACAGAAGAGTTATATTAAAACTGGCAGCACAAATTGAAGAGATAAAGGAAGAAAATTTTTATACCAACATCAAAGAAGTCTTCGCAGGCCTCATAGCAACTTTTAGCTTTCTGTTGAAGGGCAGATGATGATTCCCAGAAGTGAAGTGCCATCGGTCGAGAAAGCCGCTAGATGCAAGTGGTGGATATAATAAAAATCAACCATAGTGAATATCTGCGAAATAAATAGAGCATAAGACGCTAATGTAAAGGATTTTACACAGTGAATTCTCGCAGTTATCTTTTGAACAAATAGTTATGTTGATGATAACAGCGACCTTTAATATAATAATTAGTTCTACTTACGGTTGTCAGTAGACAGTTCCAGTACATTAATGTCCACCAGTTGTGTACGTAGGCTTTAGGTGCCTGAAATATGTGCAATCACAAATAAAGCCCGCGTGAATATGTGTTCGTCGTGAGGAAAACCTCGAGTCCTCATTTTATGGTCAAGGTTTCTTACCGGAACAGTCGTCTCCGAAAGTTTATTACCGAATTTGCTAGCCCGCAGAAGTAGATAGAGGAACATAGTCAACTATGCCAACGTTGACTTAGTCAATCTCTAGCATGTACTGATAATCGGACCATTTATGACAGATAATGTGGTACCAACAAAGACAAGGGAGATCGGCCTGGTCATGTTTGACTTGTTAGCCCTCAGCAGCCGGAAATACCTAACCCCAGATGTAGAGTACCTGAGATTCGAACCCGGGATCTCTGGTCATTGAGTCTAAAACTTTACCGTTGAGCCACGGGTTAGTTGTGGTCGGATCGTGTATCGCCTGCAGCAGTTCCAACAAATTCAATTAATTGTAGCACACCGTACATTATTTTGAAAATTGAAGAACCATAATCATGTATATTGGGGACTTGCTCAACACAAAAGAAGGCTCTCGAGTTGTCCCTTGTAGGGCAGGGTCCTTATTCACTGAATACTTTCGTACATTTCGTTGAGTGTTCTTCAACAGAGTGTAATCATGATCCATCCATGAACGCAATGTGTTGGATATTGTAGAAGCAGCAACAATAAGCGAACAGAAAAAATGCTCTATGTAAGGACACTTCGCGGTCATAAAACATTTTACCGTATGGAAATTCCCACGTAGTTTATTAGAACTTGATGAATTTATTGCATTCGCCAAATCATATAACCTGCGTGGAACTTCCCTCAAGCTTCGAGGAACCTTATCCCATCTCGATGTCCGCAGCCATTCGTTTTTGCAGCGAGTCATCGGTGCCTGGAACGGACTGCCCGAAGATGTCAGAATGGCGGACACGACAGACGCATTTAAACATAAACTTGATGTACATTTACTTAAGATATATCGTCATCTGCATAGGAAAGCACTTTCAGAACATATCAACGCTCTGCTCAAACTTATAATTGGAGTTCATGCGTAATGTTTGACAATATTGTCTACGATATTTAGGATGACTATGCGTAAATTTTACTGATATAAAAATGTATACA